AACATTATTTTTTAAAATACAGATCAAAGTGAACTATTTCTCGGTATTAAAGGGCTGACCCCCCATACATCTTGTTTTGACATCCTTCAGGGGTAATCAAGCATTAATTGGGCGGTCAATCCCCCTCAGTCCCACTGTAATTCGCACCCTTACGAGTACCTGTCAGTCCGAACGTCATGGATTCGCATTTGGAGTTTATTTATTTTTTATGAACACGAAAAAGATTTAATTTGAGGAAGGATGTGAGGATGACCGCCCGGCTAGTGTCCACATGGGATGCTGTTGGACTGTTTGTGACGTATTTAAGCGTTCGCGGTTTTTTCTGACAGGAATGAGTACCGGCCGGTGTAAACACGGAGTAAGAAGAGCTCAGGATGGTCACGGATGCTGTTACATAGGGTAAGTTTGATTTACAGGCCTTCACACCCTTGACTGGGGCTCTCAAGTGCGGGTTTGTGTCGTGTGTTGCGGTGCTCGTGTCGTGAGCTCAGCTGTTTGTCCCTGTCCTCCCCCAAACTCACCATCCCCACAGGACAAGCCTGGGCTCAGCTGTCCCGAACAAACCTGCACCCTGCTGCACCTGCTGCCTCTCTCTCTCTCTCACTCTCACACACACACACACACGCACGCACGCACGCACGCACGCAGACACAAACGCACGCACACCCACGTACTCACACACGCATGTCTGGTTTACCATCCTTTTGGGCACTGTACATTCTGTATACTCCTTCCACTTACCTCTTACAAAAACCACTCAATTCTGTAAGATATGTAAACTTGTTTACCAGTATTATAATCCACCGGGATATGAATGTCTCAACAAATATTACCATTTTAAGTTTGTTACAGATCTTCTTGATTATTATTCATAAATAAAATATGGAGTATTAATAATAAACATTCTAAAAATATTGAATTCAGTTGAAAATATGAAATTGATAAATGATGCAAAATCCATCCAACAACATATAAACATTTTAATAGGCAGCATGAAAAATAATACATTTTATTAATTAAAAAAAAACCACTCACCGGCCACTTTATTAGGTACACCTTACTAGAACCAGGTTGGACCCACTTTTGCCTTCAGAACTGCCTTAATCCATCATGGCACAGATTCAACAAGGTACTGGAAATATTCCTCAGAGGTTTTGGTCCATATTGACATGATAGCATCATTCAGTTGCTGCAGAATTATTGGCTGCATATCCATAATGCGAATCTTCTGTTCCACCACATCCCAAAGGTGCTCTATTGGATTGACATCTGGTGACTGTGGAGGCCATTAAAGTACAGTAAACTCATTGTCATGTTCAAGAAACCAGTGTGAGATGATTTGATTCAATTGGTACTAATGAGCCCAAAACCTGTCAAGAAAAGATCCCCCACACCATTACACCACCACCAGCCTGATCTGTTGATACAAGGCAAGATGGATACATGCTTTCATGTTGTTGATGCCAAATTCTGACCCGACCATCCGAATGTTGAAGCAGAAATGGAGACTCATCAGACCAGGCAACGTTTTTTCAATCTTTTGTCCAATTATGGTGAGCTTTTGTGAATTGTAGCCTCAGTTTCCTGTTCTGAGCTGACAGGAGTGGCACCCAGTGTGGTCTTCTGCTGCTGTAACCCATCCGCCTCAAGGTTTGACATGTTGTGCGTACACTTTCTTATTTGAAGTTTTACGTTTTACAAATTATTTTTATTAATTTGATTACATTTTTGTATGAATATTAATTTGGTCCTTTAAGTATATTGATGATAATATATGCAGAAATGGATACATTACATAATATTCACAGCATTATTGAAATATTATATTTTATAATAAATATACAAATACTTTAATAGTGATAATTGGCAAAGAACAAAAAAAAGTAAAATCTATAAAAATGTTATAATATAAAATTGACATTTTCAAAAATGCTTTCAAAATACATATTAAACACACAAAAGTTTCATGTATAATTATGAAATGTCAGATTTTGGAATAAATTAATTACATTTTGTACAATAACACCAAAACATCAAATTTTTTTAAAAACATTTTTAATTTTTTAATAGATGTTCATTTTTTATATGTATTATAATATAATAATAATAATAATATATATATAAATATAATAATAAACAACACTGCTTATTATACACTTGTTAATGGTTCACATCATGATACAGACAAACACTGGGACCAAAATGAGAAGTATACTGTGCGGTGTAATTTATTATTATAATATAATGTGAGTGTGCAGGCGGGCTGAATGCTTCTCACTGCTGATGGTTTGTGGGTCTCAGGTGCTGATCTGGAATAATCAGTGATTCAGAAAGAGGCCTGTCATCATCAGCTCCTCCTGCTGGATTACTGGATCAATAGTAGATTCTCCATCACCGTTAGCACTATAATCAATACTCATATTCTCACAGACCTCAGTCGACAGCAGCTTCCTCAGCATATAGGAAACAGATCACTCAGAGCAACATGTCACCATCAAAACATATTACATTATATAAACCTATTATTTTAATCAACTGTGTCTGTGTGTGTGTGTAATATATTTTTTATTTCTTTAATATTGATTAATATATGTTTACTTGCATAAATTGCATATTTATCATATTTCACATTTTTAAAAAAAATTTTCAATTTACCAAGAATTTATGTAAACAAATATTTACATACATACATTAAAATATTTAGTAAACAGGCTTAACTGTTGTATTTGTTGTGTAAGAATAATATTCATAAACAAAATATGATATATTTAATTAAGTTATTAATATATTATTTATATAGTTAAATATACATACAGACACACATTTGTTTGTACATAATTCAATATAGTTAAAGTATAGTTGAAGTTATTTTCCCCCCCAATTTCTGTTTAATAAAGATAATTTTTTTCAACACATTTCTAAACATAATAGTTTTAATAATACATTTCTAATAACTGATTTATTTTATCTTTGCCATGATGACAGTAAATAATATTTGACTAGATGTTTTTCAATACACTTCTATACAGCTTAGTGTCATTTAAAGGCTTAACTAGGTTAATTAGGTTAACTAGGCAGGTTAGGGTAATTAGGCAAGTTATTGTATAGCAATGGTTTGTTCTGTAAATTTAGAAAAAATATACAGTTTGAAGCGGCTAAAAATTTTGACTTTAAAATGTTTTTAAAAAAATTAAAAACTGCTTTTATTGTCGCCGAAATAAAACAAATAAGACTCTCTCCAGAAGAAAAAATATTATCAGACATACTGTGAGAATGTCCTTGCTCTGTTGAACGTCATTTAGGAAATATTTAAAGAAAACAATTCAAAGGGGTGCTAATAATTCTGAATAGAATTGTATATGTACATAAAAACATGAAATATAAATGCAATAATATAAATTATTTGATTTAATTAATTTCTTTTATATTCAAGGATCAATCCAGGCATCACTTTGAATTGATTTATTTAATGGGGCTCAGAGTTTCACACAGTGACAGACTAAGGGATTCTGGGTACATGGGTGACTTGACAGTTTTCTGAGGGATAAAGTGAAATGATCAGGGGTAAAAAAAAAAAAATAAAAAAAAACAGGAGTAAACAAACACCGCAAACAAACACGTACAACTCACGCGATCAGGAAGAACAGCGTTTATGAGTCCATTAACAACCCTGATCTCTCCGCTCCGTCACTGCGCCTCAGCAACAGTGCCGGCATTGTGCAATTGTGTCACTTTATTTGTATCGTAAAATTGCATAATGGAATCAGTCATACTTCGAACCAATCAGAGCTGGCGTACTCAGTCATGTGACTGGAATCATCTGGAACACTATTATATGGGCCAACAAAAATGTTGGAGAGATAAAAACACTGCAGATTCGCTGTATTTCTCATCTTGACTTCGAAAGAAAAGTATAATTGATCGAACCAAATTTACTTTGTAAAAAGGGTAAATCACACAAATCTACTGAAGTCATATTTTGCATTAAAAACATAAGAAAAGTAATTGTAAGATCATACTTTTTTGTATTTTACAGGCAATTTAACCATTTTTTGTCAATTAAACAAACATAAAAGGTCAAGTTTGATTAATTAAACCGCCCAGATGAACTTATTTTGTTATTACTTCATTGTTACAGTGTTATTGCAATGTAATTACCAGCATATTGCATTATAACATAATTCACAGCAGTCAAACATGTCAATATCACGTGAAAACAATTCTCTAGTGCAAATGTCACATTTTCTTTTGAGTTTGTGGCAAAATACAACACTTGTTTGTGTGATTCACCCAAGAAATCAGTCAAACCAAACACAAACAAAACAAATATCTATTTCAACAAACACACTTGTGTTTTACACAGAATAAGTAGTGTTGCGCTGTCAAAAAGCAAACAAAAACACTGTTTTTTTTTTTATATCACTGAATGCTGCTTCACACGTTTCCATTTAACTTAGTAATGTAAATAAAAATGACAGCGCGTGAAAATATGAAAGCTAATCATTTATTGAAATGAATCGCCGAGCAGTGAAAGTAAGTTAATTCACGAGTATCCGGCGTTGTGAAATGAAATGTAACTTCGCCTTTTTCTGTGCTAAGGCACTGACTAGTTAGTGACCCATAACTCATAGAACGTAACTACCTAAACATTAGTCATTCAGTTCTCATTTAACACTAAAATAAATCCAAAATCCACTTTCATCTGAAGTGATCCGGATATTTTACGAAGTAATCAATTGTCGTGCAATTTTCGTATTCAATGCCTACTAAAAGCACACTATTTCACAGCTAATGTTTGAATTTAGTGTTTTACATAAACATTTCTGTTAAAAACACGATTTGAAGCAGTATTGTGTGAGTAAACCACACTTTAGAATTATCGATAACTCAAATGTAAAAAAAGTAAACAAAGTACACAGAAAGCAACACTTAGACGAAAAAACAAACTAATTTGCATTAGTATGATCAGTAACATACCCGCTTAAACAGTGTCAGGTTGGTTAAACTCCATTGTTTAGTAAGTTTGTAGTTAGTGTTGATTATTTACAGTAGTTTAATCTGACTATTAAAGCAGTGCTCAGGAAATGTTGTACATTTCAATACTAGAGAAAGAAAAACAATACATTAGATAAGTGTTTAAACTCATGGTCCATTCTAAAGAAATGATTACCCTGGATTACGACACTACAGGACATATAAAATGATTCAGACTGCATTACTGCGAAACCGAAATGCATTTGCGAAAAATAGCCCATGCTTAAAGCCCATCGTTTTCAGTCTGAGCTGTTTATAGGAACAAAAAAAAACAAAAAAAAAAAACGGCTCTACTGTATAATGAAGTAGATATGGAAAGAAAGAGTTTTGTTTGTGAAAGTTTGTTCTGTCTTTCCAAGCACCTCAGTTGGAGTGAAGATTCATGAGAGGACGGTTTGATCACAGAATAATGAAGAGGAGGATCACCACAAACAGGATGGCGAGCAGAACGCCGATCGCACACCACTGACGTTTATCTGCGAAGATCAGCAAAGGGTAAAATTCAACTTAGATTTTATTTACATAGTCATTTTTTTTAAAGCAGTACTACAAATATATAATAAAATACTATTAAAATATTCACTCTGAGGACATCCAAGATGATGTTTTCATTACTCGAGAGAGATTTCAGCAGCTTTCTGTGTGTTCACTGCCTTTCTACACCTCCCATCCTTCATGTGTTCAATACTTTTTCCCTGTGTCATTCCATTTTATTATGCATAACTTCATTTGTAAACTAATTCGATGTGTTTTTTGGCATATATGGATTTCTTTATGGAGAAAATATATGGAGAAAAATGATGACACGTTTAATCCTTATTTGCCTCGTTGTATCTACTTAACGGTGTGGACGCAGCTGTTTTTGCGACCAACCTTACTGAATGCATTGGTAGAAGTCGCAAATTGCATCGGAGGAGATTGCGCAATGCAATTTACTAACGTTTGCGCTGCTCGAATCTTAATTTTTTTGCACCATTATTTAATGCCTAAAAAACTTGTCTTTAAACGTTGAGCTTAAAACGGCTGCAGTTGTTGTTGCTGGAGAAGGACCACAGAAAACATGTAGATTTTCCACACGTCATTTGGCACCAGCCATTGGTTTGAAGTTACAGTAAATTACGGTAAAAACTGGTAAATTGTGAATTTTTATTACAATTTTAAGTAAGCGTTTTCTTATTAAATGTGGTTTGAAATTTCATTTATATCATTCCTATGATTCTTAGCTGAATTTATCATCATCATTACTACAGGTTCACATGACCCTTCAGAAATCATAATAATATTATGATCAGTCATTATTGGTACAAAATCACTAATAATGATTCTCACAATGATCAGTGCTGAATTTTTTTTTGTCTTGCTTCACAGTATCGTGGAATCTTTTATACATTTTACAAAAGATTCTTTGATGAAAAGGAAAGTTAATAGTTTTTAAAATAATCGTTTTTTTATTATAAATGTATTTACTTTCATTCTTGAACAATTTATTGTGATGAATAAAAGTAAATACATTTTCTGCATTGCTGCAAATTTGCCCTGTTTGTTAAATCTGGCACTATCAGTAATAAAACAACAATAAAAACACACAACAGCTTGAATAAACTAAAACAAGAAAATTAATTGGAAAGATAACAGAGAAGAGGACTGAATTATTTATTCATTACTTTATAACTAGGAAAAATACCCTCCCCCCAAAAAATTACGCTTATGATAAATTCTTTAAAAATACCATTTGAAGGTTTGTCATAAAGACACCAATATTTCAATGAACTGCCAAAACACATACATAGTAATCGAGACATACAAGTGTCAGTTTTCTGGTGAAATTTACCCTTAAACCTTTCCTTTGAAAAGGTCCGGAAGTTGGACTTCCTGTTTATGCTTTGCCTTATAAGGGGCACTGCAGCCAATCACCTTTAGCTACAACAGGAAATCCAAGGGTCCTCTGAACAGGAAATGCAGGGTGGATTTCTTTCTATGCAAAGTGCCAACTTTATGAATTGACACAGTTTTCACTTTTACATATATTAAAACTGCTATAACCAACTAAATGTGTGACCCTGGACCACAAACACCAGCCTTAGATTCTGCCAAAGCCAAATTGTTCTTTTATGCCAAAATCATTTGTGTATTAGGAAAAATCATGATCTATGAAAACATTAAGTAAATTTCATACAGTAAACAAACCAAAACTCAATTCTCGTTGCTCTAGTTCTCGGTTGCTTTCACTTTAAACAGATTATTTATTGGCCTAAAGTTAACCATGTGCATGTGATCATCCTTTCATTATCACACGATATGTTTTTCACCTGCTTTTATTTGCTTACGGTTTTATTTGCTTCTTTTTTTGTTAACATGGTTTAATTACCATTTTTAGAATATTGCTTTAATGGGAGATTAACTCTCCATTTATGTGTAGTTAACTGGTGATCCGAGAAACCTTTAGCCAGGACAGATTACTGTGCATAGTTTTAGGTACATGACAATAATTATTTGTTAAAAAAATCAATTGCTTTTTGCAATGAAATGTTTTGTTCAATAAAAAGTATAGTATACAGCTATATTTTGCTTGTTTTGACACATTTAAAATTTGTGGCTACCAAATAATTATAATAATTGTTAAATTTGGTAAATCCTTATTTCTGAGCTCTGAAAAGTCATCTGAAATAAAAACTAATTGCAATATAACACTAAGAAACCATGACCCTTTTGATCATGCTCATTGAGCAAGCTCATACACGACACACAAAAACTGAAATGAATGAGGAGGCATGGGGACATAGTCTAAAATTTAAATAGTATTTTATGCATATAAAATTTATTTTCGCAACATCAAAATTTTGGCTAGTGAATATGCAGAGTGGCTAATAATGTTGGAAAACTACTAGCCACAGTGGCCGGTGATCAAAAAAGATCATTTCAAGCCTTGCATATAGCAATTCAAAACGCATTTACTCTGCTTTCAGATGATGTATAAGTGACTAGTACTGTGGGTCACATTTTAGAAAAAAGTGAAATAGTGTGTCAGACAGGATGTCAAAAATGAAAATCTGATGTTTCAGCTCAATGACTTCTGAATGTATTTTGAGAATGATTTGAAGTGCAGTATTAACCATGCAAGAGTGAAATGAAGCGTATGTGCTGTATTACTCACCGCTGGTCATGTGAGAAACTTTAGCCAGTTTCTTCATGACGTTGTCCAGTCTGGATTGAGTGCTGTCCATCTCATGTGAAAAGTCATCCAGCATTCTGAAAACAGTCCAGACACACAGTCCATTCAAGAAAAGGTCTGTTAACTCAACCGCAATGACTAGACAAATCTGTCAGGGTTCAGCCAGAACAGCTCAGTTTTGTTCATTTTAAAAGGTTGTGTTCAGGTTTTTAACAACAAGAATAGTTTACTGTATTCATGTAAAGTCTAAAATATCATTACTATAGCTCTGCTATATAAATGAAGTATAAGTCATTTTTACACAGCATATATTTTATATAAGATTATATTCAAGTCATTTTTGCTTTTTACAGAATATGCAGAAATTTTTTGTTGCTATTTCAGCATAAAATATTTTGTAAAAAAAATAAATAAATCTTTGGATTAATGGAGAATGATAACTAAAAACCTAAATCATAAAATAAAAAATGTTTTTTAACTTTTATTTTTAGCCAATTAGATCCACTTGTTTGGTTATTGTAAATAAATCATATAAACATTTGCATATAATACAATAACATTACTAAAATATAAAATATAATATAAAAACAATAAATACATTTTACATATTCACATAAAATCAAAAAGACTTGGTGAGCTAAAAAGATCTGCGAAATTCTATATATTAAATCGTTTATATGAATTATTGAAATAAACATTTACTATTTTAAACAATATACAAGTAAAAATAAAAAAATGTGATAAAAATGACCTATCAAAAATTTTTATATACTAGATTTTCTCAAATATTGCATATTTTGTAAACCATAGAAATGTAATGTTTAATTCCTAAATAAAAGTATATATAAATAGAGAGAGAGGGAGATACACACACACACACTAAACATTATAAATAAAAATACTATATATATTTATTTATTTATTTATCCATATATACTGTGAAGAGTATGTAATACTTTACATATCACAGTTACATTAAACACTGTTCTTTAGAAATCATTTTTCATTTATATATAATATACAAATATAATTTTAACAATATTTCAAATAAGATTATATATTAATATATAAATTCCTGCTTCATCAATATTAATATAACTCACACAGCTTGCTCATCCAGCTCCTGTCCGATTCTCTGAGACATGTTCTTCAATACACCAATAGTTCCTGACACCAACTCCAAATGCTCATCCTGCTTTTCTGCTATGAGCTGCCATGTGAACACACAATTACAAACAGTTTACTCTCTTGATAAATGCTCATCAATATTGCCAAAAATGCTAATTGTGCACTAATAACCAGTTTATAGTGTTGTGAACCGCTTTATTGAGTACCTGTTGCTGCGTCTGTTGTTCTTCAATGAACTGTGAATTTGCCGTCTGCAGCTCATTGTCAAGTCTAGTGTACTTTTCACCACTCGGTTGCCAGATTGGGCCCCGGGATCCACCTTCGCCCATTAAAGTCTGATAAGGGAACATAAATTGTCAATTTAAAAATACAACAAAAACGGTCAGAGCTAAATCCGGTTTTAATATCAAACCTGTCGATTTTTCTTCTCAGGCACTGTAATGGCCATCGGACTGGTCATGTGGTCTTTCATCTCCTGCAAAATAAATTAATCTATTATAAATGCCGGTGTACTATGGACTTATTTTTGTTTCTTTATTATTCAATCAAAATATTTAGTTTTAGGGAATAATGTAATACACCAATAAAAAAGTAAAAGATTGCAAATAAATTAAAAACGTTTAATTAAAAAACTTGTAAATGATGATAAAATATTTTGGATTGAAAAACATACACTATTGACTTATTATGCAGTTACCACACTTTCCATTGCACACTTATTCATTGTGCTCTCTGATCTGCTGTCATGTATTGCACATCTAGAATCTTTTCTTGTTTATTGTTTATTAACGTTCTTGTTTAAAATGTTTATTTACTTTTATTTTTTAATCACTGTGTATTTAATTTTTCCCTAAAACTAAATATTTTTGATTGAATAATAAAGAAACAAAATAACTCCATAGTGTCCAGGCCTATAATATTAAGGACAAACACCATGATGATGTTTTTTTTTTTATTCTAAATGTTTTTTATTTTATTTTATTTTTTTAAATCAACCCACAATCATGACTAATAGCAATGATAAACTTCACGATCACTTTATTTCCAGCATTTTTATCAGAATATATCCTGCTTTGAAAACTGCTATTCTTAATAAGTGAACTGCAGTCAATAACTTTTAATTAAAAAATTATTTATTCTTAGATTGAATTCATTCTTCACATACATGAAAGGAATACGAACAACAAAATAAACGCCAAAAGAAAAAAAAAACATTGAGAAAACAGTCATCAAGAGGGCATCTGATAATAGCAATGTATATATATTTGCAGTTCATGTCGCCAGATGAGGTCATTAAAATTATGATTGTATATTATAAGTATATATAATTGTCAAATGAGATTTTTCCAACCAAAACATTCTACGTCTGTAGAGTTAAAATGAATCTACAGGCTTTCATAGACACAGAAACATTTATTTTGGGTTTGACCGTTGACCTTTATGTCCATTCAAATTTAAAATCCAAATCCATACCAAGATTTTTAAATGAAAAGTACATTTTAGTTTTTATCATAGGCTTAGACGTCATAATAAAAATATAACCTGTTCTTTATTTTGACTTAAAACATGAGGCTTTACTGTGGATGCTAAAACATTAGTTGTAAATGTGCTTTCAGTCGGTCAGATCAGCTCACCCTGACTGTCTGCCGTGTGCTAGTGATGAAGGCTTTCCTCTTGGCCAGTTCCATTGCGTCGAGATTGAACTTCTTCGGATTGGCCTCCACAATACTTAAACACAAGGTTAAGGCTACAACCAACATATAAACAGCATCAAGACCAAACAATGACGACTAAGCTAAAAGGATATTGATAGTCTCATCCAAGTCCTCCAAGTCCCATTCAATGGACCTCAAACTGTTTCGTAATTCGTTGGTGGTCCAGTCCACTTCCTCCTTGCTGGCTCCACCCGCGTCCTGTAGCAGCTCTATCCATCTCTGATGAAGACCTTGAGCTGTGTTTACAGCCTTCTGCACCTCTCTAAGACAAATACATTCAATTAAGCCTCAAGGTTAATTGACCTACTACAATGTAGACAAGAATACTACAGAGTGTGCAGATAATTATGAAAATTATAAACATATGATCATAATTGTTTTTTTCCAAAGAGAATTTGACCAGTTCTCAAATACATCGTTCTTAGCCAAATACTAAAATATTTTACTTGTAATTTATTATTAATAAGTGTTATTAGTATTATTATTTAGAATAATTATTATTAAATTGAAAATTAATAGACTGTCTGATGTGTATAATCATTAAGCAGGAAAATAGCCCATAAAAAAGATGCAACTCTCACTAAAAAGTCAAAAATAATGGATGCGATCCTATAAAAAATGTGATAAATTAAAGGTGCTGTGAAGTGCTTTAAAATTAGCATTTTGAATTTGATTTCTTCGTTGTAATCTGAAATAAAATTCATGAAGACAGGGTGGGACATAGAGTAGCCCCTCTCCTTTATAAAAAACATCCAAGAGTGTTTCGTTTTTAATCACAGCTCTGCCAGTGAGAGTGGTTGATCTCAAAAAAGATGCATCAATGGATAAAGCAAATGAAAAGCATCTTGAGGGGGGTGGGTATGTCAGACACTAGAGAGTATTTGATTGGTCAGAATATTTGATGAGAAACTACAATAGATAACCCCCAATAATATAAATCCCCACTTTATAAAAACCAATAGCTGAAGTGTTATACAATACTGATTTCTTTTAAGGACAGCTTATGTATCTGTCTTCCTCCTGCCCTAGTTAGTATTTGTCGTTCAATAGTAATACCTTAATTTTACAGGTTTATTAATGCTGTGATCTTCTTTTGGTCGTTTAATATATATACAAAACGAAGGGCCCAAAAAGGAGGTGTAACATTGGGAAAATATATATATATATATATATATATATATATATATATATATATATATATATATATATATATATTTTTTTTTTTTTTTTTCCTCCCCAATGTTACACCTCCTTTTGGTCCCTTCGTTTTGACATGTCAAAATAAACCTGCTTCATAAATATGCACATCTAAATATAATTATCTTACACCCCCAGTGCTTGTTAAAAAATTACACGTAACTTATTAATGATTATACACAATATCAATACTAGGGCTGCACAATATATCGTTTCAGCATCAATATCGCAATGTAGTCATTCGCAATAGTCACATCGCAGGTTGTGCAATGTTGAGTCTGTAGTATAATCTATCATTTTCATGTTTTTTTGGACAGTAGGATTTTAAAACCAGAGGCATAAAAAATTTTACCATTTGTAAGTTAACGTTAGACGTAAAAATGATAAAACACTGTTTATTTATCTTTTTTTATTGTTTGATCTATGCTTGTGGATAGTTTATTATAATTATTGCAGATGCACTTTTCTGCAGAATCATCTGAATCAGATAATTATATCGCAGAATAACTAAATATCGCAATGTTAGATTTTTCCAATATCATACAATCAACACTTAAGAAGTGTGAAATCGGTACAATTAAACAATAATTATGCACGCACTTTATTACAGCGCCTAGACTGCAGTTCTGCACAAGACGTTTGGCCACAGGAGAAACGGTCGTGCTCAACTGAGCCTGGTTTCGCTCAAGTTTTTTTAATTCTTCACTTTCGCCAATTGGTGAAGTTTTTTTCCCTTGCCACTGGCTTGCATGGTTTGGGAGCAGTGGAGCTGCGCATCGATGGATTTGCTTTTCAGTGTTTAAACTCTCAGCAGTAAAAATTAAACCACACTGAACTGAATGGACTGAACTAAACTGAACTTCAACACAAAAATAAGCTGACACTGTTTCAATTTACTATAATCTTCTATGTGAAGCTGCTTTGACACAATCTAGATTGTAAAAGCGCTATAGAAATAAAAGATGAACTGAATTGAAAGGTTTTACTATGATAATGCAATGCTTTTGGATGTCTGACATGGAAAAAACTATGCTATTACGTTACTATCCAAAAGCATACCATAATATGTATCCCCAAAAAGTGACAAACATGGTAACGTTACATATTTGTAAATCCTAACTTATAGCAAAACGCAGATGTCTGGCAACCCAAAACAATACCACTTTAAAGGGAAGACGACACAAATATCGATTAACGCTATGAAGCGTTTGAGAAAAAAATCGATAATTATGGTTGCCATGACAACACGATAACGATCTTACCGAAACAGCTGCTTTAAATGGTGCCGAGTATCAACGTAGGACAAGTCAAATAGCTAATGTACGTAAAGTTTAAAATAATTAACGTTACTCCAATCTGATTCCTGAAAGTGTCTAATTCGACATCTTATATTCGCCCCTAGTCTCCGATCTAAGCCCTGAAACTCACCCTTTCACCACGAAAAACGGATCTTCCATCGACATTTTGCTGCTCAGATGAGTCGATGAGTGGGGTGCGATAATCTCATGCTCCTGACCGCGGCTGGTTTAGCTTTACTTGGACAAAGGAGAGCGCTTTACGTGTTGTTTACATGCGGGACAGAGCCCGGATCCGCTCAGCCGCCATTGCCCGGCGGAATCACATCCGGGTCCTCGAGCGTCTAGACACACGCACGCGCCTGGGCAGATAAACAGCAGCACGGGTTGTTTTGGTTTGTTGAAGTAAAAGAACAAAGCGTTGCCACTAATATGCAAAATGCCTAAATATAAAATATACTTACGAGATATTAGTTTAATTTAGATAATGCTTTAAATATATGTTGGTAGTCAGCATTCTGTCTATTCATCATCCAGGCAATATTATGTAAAGTAGCTTACCATTATTATTATAATAAATCTACTATATGTAAATGTTTACGTAATTGAAAGCTAATTTATAGTTTATGCGTTAAACATATGCTGGTATAGTTGGTGGTTCATTCCACTGTGGTGACCTCTAATAAATAAGGGGACTAAGTCGAAGGAAAATGAATAAAGGAATTTATAACATACTAAAATATTGAACCTACGTCCTCAAAATTAAATTTAACTGAATCATTATACACCGACTTCAAAATGATTACCTTTTGATTTGCCACCAAAATTAACATAAAATAAGAATATTATTATTCACAGAAAATTCACAGTAAATAAAAAATAAAATCCATGTTTTCAGATCTTAGATATTTTGAACTATTGTAAAAGCACACATACATATAGTCCTCCTAACATTTATATATGTGTGTGTAGCCTTTTACGTATGTGTACAATAATTGTATAGTAACATAAAAATGTAACAGGCGACATGGTGGCTCAGTGGTTAGCTCTGTTGCCTCACAGCAAGAAGGTCACTGGTTCGAGTCCCTGCTGGGCCAGTTGACATTTCTGTGTGCAGTTTACATGTTCTCCATGCCGTGTGGGTTTCCTCCGGGTACTCCGGTTTCCCCCACAAGTCCAAAGGCATGCGCTAGGTGAATTTCATAAACTAAATTGTTTGTAGTGTATGTGTGTGAATGTAAGATTGTATGGATGTTTCCCAGTACTGGGTTGCAGCTGGAAATGCATCCGCTGTGTAAAACATATGCTGGAAAAGTTGGTGATTCAGTCGCTGTGGCGACCACAGATTAATAAAGGGACTAAGCCAAAAAGAAAATGAATGAATGTGTGTGAATGAGTGTGTATGGAGGGTTCCCAGTACTGGGTTGCAGCTCTAATGCCAACAGCTGTTCCAAAACATATGCTGGATAAGTTGGTGGTTCATTCCTCTGTGGTGACCACTGATTAATAAAGTGACTAAGCTGAAGAAAAATGAATGAAAATGTATGAATGAATGAGCTACAATCTGATACCATTGTGTGTATTATGGTGCCACCGGTATTTTTTATTTATTATTTATTTAAACATATACTTTATTTAAGTATATTAAACACTTATGTAATAAGTGTGTATTAATATTAATACAATTATACATTTTATTACAGATAATCTAAAATAATAGGGGTCAAAACTATGGGTTTCCCACTGCTTTCTCTTCATCCTTGTATCTGCAGCTCGTCTGTGTACTGAAACACAGTTCTTCATCCATTATTCATCACAGCGCGCCGCCTGCTCATTAGTTGACTATCTACACCAGTGCTGCTGTCCACTGGTTAGAGGACGTGTATGATGTAAAAGCAGCAAAGCAGCTGGAAACACTTGAGCTCGGTCGGCTTAGAAAGTAAAGCTGCATAAATTATTAATCAACTCCCGGTTTTATTTATAGTATCAGTTGCCAGTTTCCCATCAACGCGCAGAACTGCAACTGTAGAATCAGCACTAGATGAGATAGCGGGATACATGATTATTTTATAGAGCATTTCAATGTGTTCATGTCCTTATCAAACTATTACTGTAACAAGAGGCGATTTAATCATACATTAAAACAGCTCTCACGACATTATTTATCAATGTGTGGATCTTTTTAGATTCTCAAAGGCTATAGGAATAAATATGTGAAACAGAAAATACATTGGGACAATTGTTTTTGTTTACATCCCTCAAAATGGTCTATATGGACGTTGTTTTTTTTAATGAACAACAATTTAATCGCCCCTTTAAAAACAGGAGCTTAACACAACAACAGGGTGCTGATTTATGACTGATAGTAAATAATAATGCTTTCATTTTCATTTATCTGTGTGAGCTACTTCAAACAAAGCATTGCAGAATAAATTGTGCGGTAGTCATGGCTGTAATCGTTTATATATAGATAAACAGTCTTACGTCACAGCCTGCTCTTCCTGTCAGGTTTGTTTATGACCCACATCTTAATGCAGGCAGACTCACAAACCAACACGCACGGATTATTCATTTAAGAACCAGACATACACACGCAAAACGAAAGCATCGACGTGATCTTAATCTTCAATTGAGGGTAAAATCTCCCACACTGTTCGTGAGTAGCTGCTAACTGTTTCTTCAAACAAAACATTGCCCTTCCCCCCACGGGCAGCTCCATTCACATTTGCCCAGACACCGCAGTGGATTTGCACAATAGAGTCATGTGACACGACTGTAGCAGACAAACCATTACATCAGTCGAGGAAGTCAGTTGAAAAAAATTAAAGGGGAAGTAGCCTTCTTTCCCTTTTACCAGAAAACACAACGATACACTATGCGGAAACCGTGTGATGGTTATTATGTAGCGATGGATATATCTGAAATGTTAATATTTTGAAACAAAACATATTACATAAAGGGATAATTCTGGAAAACAACGTTAAATGTAAATCATGTTTTGGTATACGTGTATAGGGTCACATTTGGCTTGTTTTAGCTTCTGTTTACTTGTGAAAACGGTGTTGTGTTTCAAATATAGTTTATTTTTAACTTTCTAAACAAATACAGCCTGAAAAACACTGAGAAATATAAAAATATCCGTCTATTTTAGCTTGAAAACAATTCTTTCCCTTTAAGCAGTTCTCCCACGTTAGTATTTAAATATGACTCATAGCTGAAGCGCCCTTTCATTGGCTATCGCCTGTTTGGCGGGGTGTGATTCACAACTGTGGCAGAGCGCAACTCGCAACGCGATTGGCTAGTGTAGCCGCTGACGCCGGAGTATAAATGCGAGTTAAAAATAGAAACGGTCTCATTCCTCCCTAGACCATTGTTGGGTGCTGAAGAGAATGTGTGAGGTAATAAAATCTCCTACACTCACCCAATAACAAGATCTTGTATTTTGTATATGAGAATGAAGCCAACAAAACACGGGATTTGATCTACAGGAGGAACGGAAAAGCACTTGGACGTTGTTGTTTACTAACGGCTTTCGCGTTAACGTTTTGAAGAGAGAGGAAATCAAAGGCGAAACGCCCGGCGAACTTTGCACCGTTTGTGAACTTTAAACGTATCGATTCCAGCTATGGAATACAAAGTGGAGGCCCATCGGATTATGAGTATCTCCTTAGGGAAGATCTACAACTCACGCGTTCAGCGAGGCGGCATTAAACTGCATAAAAACCTACTGGTTTCACTGGTCCTCCGAAGCGCGCGCCAGGTCTATCTGAGTGACTACTACAGCGGCGCGTGCCTGAACGCTCAGAGTGAACGCGAAGGGAACGAGTGGGACATCACCGACTCCGAGCGGGAGAAATTCCCTCCCTCTACAACGGAATGTGACCGAGTAGAGAGCCCTGAGGAACCTCAACTCACCGAACAGCCCGAGGCGAGCGAGAAAGAGCGGGAATATCGCGAAAACGACGCTGAGAAATCAGAACGAGTGGATTGTACTTCCACTTCTGAGCAAGAAAGCAACCAAAACTCTTCTTTAGACTCGGTTTCAACGGAAACCACTACGGAGAGTCCCTCAGACACTACAGTAGCGGAACGCGACTCAACGCCTGTGGTGGTGAACGGGGAATCACATCAACCACCCAAAACGCATGTTTGTTCTTCAAACAGGAAAAGAAGCGCAGAGGAGTCAGAAAGTGGCGATGCGCCTCAAAAAAGGACCAAAGTTGCTTCCTCAAACACGAAGGAAGACGAGGAAGAAGCCGAGGAGATGGACACGGGGAACGTCTCCAACCTCATAACAATATTTGGTTCCAGTTTCTCAGGACTTCTCAGCAAAGATGGCACCAAACCTGAGGCCGAGGCAGAGGAAAGCGGTCAAATCTGCTGCGACCAAATGTTGAAAAACCTAAACCCATGGAGTACAGCAATTGTAGCTTTCTAACTGTATCGTACTGTACTTCTCATAACACGTGGTCAGGCCTGGGCTTCAACAACGTACTATGGGGGACTTCCCAGAAAGCATGCGTGGTGGTGCCACCAGAAGCACAAGCTCGTTTTGGCCTGGACTTGCCTTTCTTCTAGTGAAGGAACTATTTGAATGCTGGTGCTACTCTTTGGGATTAACAGTTCTTGAAGTGTTGAACTCTCAAAAGCCATGTGAGCGAATGGTATTACAACAATATGCAAACGTGTCATGAAGGGTCAATATTACATTGTCGCTGAAACAATTCAGGGTCGATCAACTTGACTGTACGAGGGTCAGGCCACTGTTTTTAACGTCTTTGTTTTATAAAGACCTGTACATTTTGTAATATCCGAGTGTGTGTATATATTGTCGCCAATGTCGCATTCTGAATCTATGTATTTTGGTATCATGACAATTTACGTGGAGCTCACGTATTAAAAAAATGTGAAATTACCATATTGTTTCTGTCCTTTATGTTCATGAATATTCAAAACTAATGTAATGATGTCAGCTTTTAATTTATATTTAAATATAAAAAAATTCCAGCTTAGGGGTAGGCCGATAATTGATGATATATCAAATCGTGATAAAATTTACATCAGTAACCGATAAACTCTGGACTTTTTTACTCTATATTGATCTAAGAGCCAATCACACAGCAGAAACGTCCTACAATGGGAATCTAAAATTGAGATGTACCAAATTTTTGGCCACCGAATATTTATCGGACGAAAATGTTATGCAATTTGGACCTTCTAATTGTTGTGGCTTCTGTCATTGTTTTAAATCTGCAAGTATTACCAACTTCTATCAAAATATATATCTCGTTATCGTTAAATATGGAAAATAATTGTCAAGATTACATTTTTGCCATATCGCCCAGCCCTACTCCAGGTTCCCACTGAACAAAGCTTAATATAATTTTGTATCCATCACCTGCAGATCTAACAGATAATCTAATCTTTTGGGGTTAATTTGAATCTAACAACTATAAATTGAGGATTAGTACGAAAATGTCAACCACTGCTTCCCCAAACAAACTAATTTAGCTGGATCAACAAGTTTGAGAAGAACAAGAATGTTCAGCTGCTGTTCCTCTCTGTGATACTTCCAAGCCATTTTTACAGCGTGTTGTAAAGAGCGCTATTGTGCCCCTGAAGCATGTGTGGTATGCAGGGTTGAGTTTCAGCGCAGACTGCAGTCTCTTCTCTCAGGGCCTGTGTTTAGTCCCAGCTATTCAACATGACATGCCTTTTCCTGCAAGAGAGAACAGTCATAATAGAATCATTGACTTCGAAACCTTTATTCATGCTGCAACACCACTTGAGCAGTGTTGCATTATTAATAGAGGAGATGTGATTCATGATTTTCAATGAGGACAAGCTTTATGCTCAACAATGTTTCATTTTATGAGCAATTACAGAGAAATCTGTTTCATTCACTAGAAAAGAACGCAGGAATTTGGAAAGTTGAATATGAGTTTGTTTTGTAATATTCACAGAAATGGCTGGTTATGTCAATTTAAATGAAATAATTAGTATTCTGTCAAAGCAATTACTTTAAGCTTTTCCATGGTCACAGAAAACCTGTAAAGCAAAAATGGTAAAAGTGTCATTTCCATGCCAGGTGAAGTCATAAAATGTACAGAAAGTCAAAGTTTTGGAAATAATTATTATTCTTTAGTGAGTTAATATGATTAAATATGGTTAGAACTGGATATTTAATATATTAAACACAAAAATAATAATTTACATGTATAAATCTATAATATAAGCCTGCAATTTAGCAAAATATTTACAATAATAAACAATTGTTGAAGCTACAACATTTAAGGTTTAAAAAAAACTTCATACAAATATTTTCAAATTCTGTTTCGATAATCAGATTTTTTAGTGGCCACAGCGGAATGAACCGACAACTTATCCAGCATATGTTATATAGACAGTGGATGCCCTTCCCTGTCTGTTGTTATTTTAAATCGATTATTATTTAGTATATAACAATTAGTAATAGTAATATAAATCTATAATATAAACATATATATTTTTTTTTAAATGACCCTTTGGAAAAATTTGTTTAAAAGACATGGGAAATTAGTTTTTCTTTTAAGTACAAAGTAAAAATTTTAAAGATAGTCAGTCAAGGGGAGGGAGAGTAACATTCATTTTGGGTGAAACACATGAGCAAACACTCAATATCAACGAGTGAGGGACAAAGTTAACCACGACTAACTAAATGCAATAAAGTGTGTTTTATTTACAAAAGATAGTGAATAAGTGAAAATATGTATATATAAAGAATGTTAAATATTTACAAAATATATTGAAAATTACAGACAACAAACAGGTAGATGGGAAAGTTGGAGAGATGAGACGTGGGCGGCGTCCAAACAATAGAAATGAACAAAACAAAACAAGCTATTCTACTGGCCCAATCTCTACCCTTACTATCCAAAAAGAAAAATATATCATACCTACACTAAAATAGGAGAAAAACGAAAATATAGCGGGTGGAGCATGACACTAATCTATGTATACTTTACATATAACTTTCAGTTATTTTATGTTATATATAAAATTATATAATTAACATAAGCAGCAATAGTAGTTAACAACAAAAACAACTTAAATTATAGTCCCTAATATTTCAAAAACTGAACCCTTTATAGAATATCTTTAAAATCTTTTAAACAATAATATACTTCACATACTTATACGTAACTTTAATATTATATCAGAAAAATCTATATCACAAGCTTAATATAAACACATTTTAAAGGTCATTTCAAAGCTCCCTCAACATTATATTCAGGTTTAAAGGAAGCTATTTTTAATAGAAAGCTCTACAATAATATATTTGTGCATATACATTAGATTAGTCAGTACTGAAGCCAAATCTGGAGTTTATCAAACAAAATAACTTATGATAACGGTCTAAAATCTAGTACATCCAAATTTATGTTATAGAAAAATATCAAATACACATTTTGAAAATAATATAATAGCGAATATAATTGACATGCATAATCTATAGCACAAGCTTAATATTGATATCAAAACGATTTTAAAGATCAAGCCACATAAAAAAGCTCCTTCAACATTATATTCAGGTTTTAAATCAAGCTATATTTATAAATACTATATTTAACTTTTATATATATATATATATAACTTTTCCTCTACGTCAAAAGCTGACGTGAGCTCCAGCAGAACCAGCTTGGTGCCCGGTGCGGCTGCATTCTTTCACAGAGACATGGCCGGCTATAGATAGACACATTCCCCCGAGAAAGACCAGAAGGCATGAGTAAAGCTGCTCTCTCCTGCCCTGCTCGTTTCAGAAATGTGGGTCATTCAAATCCCGGCCACGGCCAAGTCAGCTGACCAAAGCAGCACAGATCAGCCAGATGACAAGGCCAGGGTTTGATGTCTGTTAAACTCCTGGCCGCACTGGACATTTCCTCGAATTTCTGCAGTTCCTTTTATGAAATGAGCATATATAGATGTAAAACTGTTTGTGGCATGTCATGCAACGTCGCTGGCTGTTTCACAAACCGTGCTTAAACACATGCAGCTGTCCTCTCCTGACTGGCCTCTCGCTCCTGCATTCCTCTGTCCTGGAAGGAAAGGGGGGTGGGAGGAAAAGAGCAAAGTTGTGAAGACGTTTCCTGCCGATGTGCAGTAGAAAAGCATGAGGGGCTGGAATGTGGAGTCAAAGAAAGTAGAGAAATGTAGCAGGAATCGCATATAGTCTTGGTTGATGATCAGGTAATGGGATGCCAGGATAGACAAGAAAAAAAACGTAATAGCAAGTTGGTTTCAATTATCAATTAGACTATATAGAGTCAAGGTGGCGCAGTGAGTAGCATGATCGCCTCACAGCAAGAAGGTCACTGGTTTGAGCCTCGGCTAGGTCAGTTGGCATTTCTGTGTGGAGTTTGCATGTTCTCCCCGTGTTTGCGTGGGTTTCCTCCGGGTGCTCCGGTTTCCCCCACAAATCTAAAAACATGTGGTTTTGGTGAATTAGGTAAGCAAAATTGGCCGTAGTGTATGTGTGTAAATGAGTGTGTATGGGTTGAAGCTGGAAGGGCATCTGCCGTGTGAAACATATGCTGGACAAATTGGTGGTTCATTCCGCTGTGGCGGCCCCAGTTTAATAAAGGGACTAAACCGAAAAGAAAATGAATGAATAAAACAACATTTGTATTTTTTTAAATGTCATGTAATTGCTTAGTGTTGAAATTAAACTACTCTAGTTATTGCAGCCCCCAAAAGTTATGCATACAGTCGACAAAGTGTCGTCAAAACAATCCATGTTTTAAATGATTGTGCGAAAACAGTTAAAAACGCTGTATGCAGCAGCTGTCCAACCACAGCTGCATAGGGGCGGGGCTAATACCATGTCAACAAAAACTATCACAACAATACGCTTATTTCACATGGCCGCCATTTTAAAAAATGAAAGTGAAGACACCCGGAAGTATAGGATCATCACTGTAAACATTGCAACAACATGCTGTGGACTACAAACCTCCAGCTGTTGCCGTGATTTCAAAATGCAGATATGGTTTAAACATCACTTTAATATCATTCAGTTCAGTTTAATTTAAACAATTAAAAGCATATTAGGCATCAAACTAATTCACAATCTTTTTAAGAGAAATACGTTTCAGTGTCCTCCTAGGCTTCAGTTCATGGCACCAGGTAAACACAGTGGGGATTCTTCCCTGCTTCAGCCCATGTAACCTGGTGAGCGCTAAAACAATGCAGTCCTCTGTAGTGGACCCTCGTGTTGTCTGTAACAGTGTTTTCATGGTACTGAAGTTAAAATCGTCCATTTCTCGCTAACATTTAAGCACAGCTGAGTGCATTCTTACACACTGTTGATTTGCCATAGTATTCACCAGTGCTCACCAGAAATGACTGTGATTTGCCGTGAAGGTCATCAGTTCACCAAACTCATCGCTGTTTACCGAGGGTTAGTATTCTCGTGTTAGCCTAATTGGTTGGTGACATCACTGACCAAAGCGAGAGATGACAGTAACGCACCAAAAAGTTTGTTGTCAACCACCGAAAAACAGGAAAAAGAAGAAATCGTCATTCTCGCCATCATATAGATTTACTTATATAGGCTAGACAATGTCCTCACAGCTCTGTGAATGTTGGTGCCATTACATATTGAGCCACGATAGGTAATGCCTAGTTCAGACTGCGTGATTTTAGCCCCGATTTTGGCTCGCCGACAGGTTTTGAGAAATCGCCGACAAATGCTTGAAATCACAGGCAAATCGCTGCTCATGCACGTGAGTGACAATCACACAGTATGAACTTTCAAAGACGCGATCTGAGAGAATTGCCGATGAGTCGCCGATGCCTGTGAGATATTTGGCATGCTAAATATCTGGAGCTGTCGGCGATTCAAATCATGCCGTGTGAATTGTGTTTTGACTGAAAATA